GTGAAGGTGTGGTATTTTGACTTTTGGAGCTATGATACAAAGGTGTGTCACTGGAGTTAAAATGAGAAAAATTGGGATAAGTTAAACCACACAATTTCTTACAGAAAACTTAAAATTCATAATAACTTGAAAATACAAGTTTCTTAAAATGCAAACCTGAAAACATGATAGAAAATTTAATGCCCTATACAATTATATATTCACATTGAGCATAATATCCTCCATAACAACAATTTAACATTAATTTTTATTACTAGGAACATATGCAATCATATTAATTAATTCTAATTAAACTTATTACTGAAAGATCCTTGAGATACATTAAATCTTTACTACAGAAGTGTAATTGACTCCAAATTATAATATATGATTTATATAATAATTAAAATCAGAAAATAAAGGAAAATTAGATATTGCAGATCAATATATCTGTTTAGTTTGCTAATATTTTAGCAAACTATGTATTTCATGTCACTGACAACCGTAGAACTCTAGAAATCACTCATATGAAGAGAAATAAACCCTAAACCCTAAAAAGTTAGAATCGGGAAAATTATCTATTCAGTATCCATATTTATTTAAGCTGTTAATGACTGAATATCATTATTAAAGCTGGTGAGTTAGAGGCTTACATGAATTTGTGTTGCAGTCTCAGTTATTTTCTTATTTTATTGATTGCTAAAGTCTACACTGTATAAATTCTTTCAAAGGTCAATCAGGTTGGTAGCTTTAAGCAGAGTATCCACAAATTGGAGATTTATATTAGCCCTCATCTGATCTGACCAGCATTGTATCACAAGACATGTGACTGTTTTATTTTATGTTCATTTTACATTATTTTGCCAGGGTATACTTGTTGTATAGATGAATAAAAAGTTCTAGTTTTCAGTGTGTTTAAATTCAAGATTTCAGAACCAAAATATGATTTATAAGGTTAATAGAATTTGCGAAGAAAAGGTCATCCAAAGACCTGGTGACAAATATACAGTGAGTATTTGAGAAAAGTCATTGCAAATAATTGATAACTTCATCGCTGTATGCATGTGTGTACGTATGTATGTGAGTGTGTGGGTGTGTCTTCCCCCCCAACTCTCACATCTCTTTCCTAAAAATATTTCATTTTAGCTGTGAGGAGATTTTTAGGGTAAGACTAACTCTATCTTATACTGTTATGTGAATGTTCAAGACATCCATGAAAACTTTTCATGGGACACAAAAGACAATACCCACTCTATTATTATATATATATACACGCAGGTATATATAATTTAAAATATCAATGTCATTTTAAACCGATAATTTTATTTATGAAGAACTGTATTGTGATTCGCAACTTGTAGATTGCTGAGGTTATTTTCACAATTATAAAATGAAGTTATTTTCTGAATTATAAAATTATAAAATGAAGTTATATTTCCTATGTATTGAAATATATGTATATGTATACCTATGTGTACACATAAATGTATTGGTGTATACACACACACAAACACACACACACACACACAAATACTGCTCCGGTGAAAGTAAAGAAAATCTTAAAGGAAAGACAAAAAGTTTAATTAGAAAATCATTATTCATATTAATTAACTTTTGAACTAATTGTAATTTATTGAACAAAAGGTAAAGAACTTTTGCAAATTTTACTTCAGAAATTTTAACTAAATAAAATGATCTTCTCTTGTCACAAATATACATGAGAATTTTTATTTAATTGATAACGTCATTCTTATAATAACACCTTGACTGAAAAAAAAAAAAAAAAAAAACTTTAGAAAATAGAAAAAAGGAAGCCTTCAGAATGTCTACCACTTTTTAAAGTTCTATTTACTAAGTCCTTCCTATGAAGTTAAGGTTAAAATCATTGATTTAACCTTTGGATTCACAGGATCACCATCACATGGAGACATGCATGTGTCTTTGATTTCTACCAAAACTGAAGCACACAGTGTCCTGGAATAGCCCATTACATTGGATGATGGAACATTTGTCATTTGTTTAAAACCCAAACCCTAATTATTTTCTTGTGATTCATGCAGGTTTTTCTGAAGACTTCATTGTATCACATATCCCAAGTGGAAGATTATATAATTTTCCTGTATTTCATGAGAAAAGTGAAATTTGACTAGTTTTGTAGAAGAAATAAACACTTATGCATGGACCACTTTTTAAAAGAAGGATTTTATCATTTAGCCATATTACATATATTTAAAGATGACAAAAGTATTTCTGAGTAAATGTTTCTTAAGGATAATTTCCATGTAACTGCTGAGATTTACAGAGTTCTCACATTTTCTTCCCCCATAAGGATTCTAAATCAGATTGGTGCAGAGGAAAAGCCAGCATACCCCATTTTTCTAATATTATCACTTCTCCAGATGGTCCTGAACACATCTATTCAATTCCTTTTTCCTAGAAAGTAAAGAGGTATCTTATTAGATATGTACACCCGCTACAAAAGCCACCTTCCTGTTTTTACTTCTTTTTAACATATCAAGTCTCTTTCATCTCCTACCAGGGAAAAATGACAAGTAGAAACTAAGCACAGTGATTGCCTGAAACTTCATCTTGGCAACCTGAGCAATGACAGAGTTAATGGTGGATCTTTGAAAACAAGTGACCATGGGAAATTAAGGTTGGCAGGGATTTAACTCTTCATGAATCATGCTGGAATATTTTTAAGGGCAATGCAGTGGATGTTTTAACTGTGTTTGACATCTAATTAAGGAGAAACAAGAAGTAGCTTAAAAAAAATCTCTATTGTACTTGAGAAACAAAGTACTGGCAATTGGCTACCACATACTTGCTTTGGCCAAACAAATGTACATGTAGAGAAAAAAGGTAATGACAGATTAATAAAATAACAGAAAAAAAGATTCCCCAGGCCATTCCTTTTATTCTTCTTGCTGTTGTTCATTTCACAGTTTATTTTAGCAAATTATTAAGCTCTAGGTGTATCAATGGAATTGTTACGTAGCTGTAGAGCAGTTTTTATTTAAAGGAAAGCAGAATAATTCTAATGGGTGCCACCACTAAAACAAGGCTTATAAAGACAGTATCAAATATATACACCTTGCTAATAAATACTGCTTGCTTCATCAGACAGGTTTAAAGCATATGTGCACAACAAAGGATATTCAAATTAAATGCAGTCTTTTTAACGTACAGCAAGAACAAGTGCCTCCTCTATCATGGAGAGTAACCTATTACCATGGAAATAAAATTCTTGCCAAATAAAAAAGTTTAATTCCCTATTTTTATTTTATTTTAAAATGTATTTATCATTTAGATATATTCAAACCTAGATTTTTAAAATATATTTCATGATTTTAAGCTGTTAAACTAAAAGTATTACAAATAGCTAGTCACATCTTTGAGAACTAAAGTTGCATGTAAAACTTACTCATAGGGAACATAAACTTGGATAAAGTGGACCATCAACTTAGACTTATTTGATGTCATCTTGTCAAGGAGTGAAAACAGAACGCAAAACTGATAAAAACACAGATACCATAATATCATATACTATGGAGATAATTTAAAGACAGTTACTAAATTAATTAAATAATTAATGCTATATGATTTTTTAAAACTTACATAAGTACAATTCCACTTCTGTTTGCTGATGTTTAAGTCTCTATTCCCAACTTGATACTCAGGAAAACATTACACCAAAAAGTAAATAAATATTCTAATTCAATGAATTTTATCTAACGAGCACTAAGTCCAAACAAACACATTACTAGGTGTTTAATTTTCTAATTCAAAGTGTGAAAATTACATCTCTCTTTCTGATTTGAGATCTTCATACACACTAGGGCATTCAGAAAAAGATGTTCCCCATCATATGAGAATTAAGTAATATGTTTTCTGGCATAAGGGCAAGGTAGAGTAGACATACATCTCTACAAATACCTTCAATAATTTTTCTTTTAACTTATAGGCTAAAAACTAAGCTTAATTAGAGCTTCTCACTGCTCCACTCCCAGTTTTAGAAATCTGAGAATCATAAGAAATCAACACCTTAGGGAGTAAAACTACTTGAGTTAAAGCAGTTTAATCTTTAACTCCATTTTAATAATGCCTGAGTTATAGAAAGATTTACTGCGATTAAATTTATGTATATCATTTTGGGATCTACTTTAGCATTACTTTACACATCATCTATCTATAAGATCTATCTAAGCAAATGTAGAACAAATATAAAAAATCCTCATTAAAATAAACACATACATTAAATTGTAACCAAATAAAGCACTAATTATAAAGCTCTTTTTTCTCTCTTAAATTTATAGTTTTTAAAAGAGAAGTTTACACAACTACCTATGCAAGTAGACAGTAATGCATCTGCAGTTCTCATTGAAGTACATATAGAATTAAATAACATAATATTTCAAAGACTTTAGCTTTACATAATTAGTCAAATACAGTCTTTTGTACAATCATAACACGCTGTGGAAAAACTAGTCTGTTCCATCCAGTTTATGTTCTCTTGGCAAACCATGATCTACTGCTTATGTTAAGCATCTGATTGTCAGATTTGAACAAACTGAATATTCATGATGACGATTAACCATTTCGTGTCTAAAACTAAGAAAATGCAATTCATCATAGTAATTATAGGTAAGGCATGCACATCTACAAAGAGACCATTTTTGCATTTCTATTTTTAAGAAAATATTTTAATAGAATTAAAGTCGGAAAAATTAACAGGCATAAGATAGGATAATAAGATATACAGATCAGCGTGTACCAGGCGTACAGCTCTTTTTGGCAAATGTGATTAAATGTTCTTTGTTTGCATTTAAATTGTCATATATCAAACAGAAGACATGCTTTTTACAAAAAGGGTTTAAAGCATCAGAGAAAGATACACATAATCACATAGGTTTACCGGGTTGAACTAAAGGTTTGATGATTTGGGGTTGGGAGGGAGTTCAAGGAATTAAGGGGGGGCGGTTATTACAAAGATAACCAAATAAAAGAAAAATAAGATTTACCTTTGTAGGATAATTTCAGCCTTGGCACATTATTCTTCCCATTTTGATAGTTTGCTCTTGCTGTAAGTAATACTCCCCAGAAAAGACAGACAATCCTAGTTAACCAGCCCATGCTGCAGACGCTGTAGGTCCCTTTGCTTCTTTAGTCTTCCTTCCTGTATTGTGCGGCCAGAGAAGTTCAAACAATCTGGAAACTGGAGGTAACAGGTGATTTAGGTCAGTTTCATTCATAAATGCAGACAATCAAGACCTCATGGCAACACTAACACCTCTTCTTCTGTAACAGTCACTGAAGCACAGAAACTTCAAACCCTCCAAAAAGAAAAAAAAAAAAAAAAAAAATTCCGAGCCAGGCACCGGATAATGAGGCACAACTGTTGTGTGGAAAGAAAAAAAAAAAAAAAAAATTAACAAGGTCTGCTGCAGTGGTGCTTAAGAAGCAGTTCCTTTTATCTAAGCTCCTCTGATAGCCGGTGGCAGACTCTAATCCTGCTCCCTGCTTCATTCGGCTCCGGGGAAGCAGAATGAAAGGGAAACAGAGAGAGAGAGAGAGAGAGAGAGAGAGAGAGAGAGAGAGAGAGAGAAACCGTGAGCAGCGCGGACTTTTCCTGTACGCATGTAGGGGGAGATGACACAAGATCCCACAGACAGGTTTCCCCAACACTCACTAGACTGGCTGACAATGGGAGAACAGGCGAGCTCAACCCACTCCCCTTCCCTCCTGTCACACAACACATGCAAAAAACATCTCGTAGAGATTAGAGCCGGGAGCAGAACCCTCCGGCGTGCCTGTGAAAGGCATGTAGCTATAAATTTACTTCCCAAGGCAAGCGTTGTTTTATAGCCATTTTTGGGTGCAATTTTGATTTAAAAAATCTGAATTCTGCTACCTACAAAATTTACAATTCATGCTCATTATACAATCCTGTTGAACTTGTGCATTGTGTGTGTGTGTGTGTGTGTGTCTATATATCCTCATCAATACAACTTTAACCACTGAAGGTTTTAAAGCCTTGTTAGAGATCATTCCCGCCTCCCAACAAACCCCCTGGGCTCAACCACCCCCTTCCTCTGTCCCACTGCAATTTCAGGGAAGAAATTCCTAGTAAAGCCCATTCCAACAATCAGTTCAAGACAAATATAGGTCCTCTGAGAATTATAAATTACAACGGGGGATTCTCAAAAGGATACTCAGAATTTAAAAACATCTATGGTTTTCCAGCTTCTGGAATGCTCTGGCTAACATTTTTAATGCATCACATCTCATTAATTAAAGACACTTCCCTAGTTTTGGTTTAAAGGGCAGCGGAAGATGACAAAGTTCACAAAAGTCCCTGCTGAGTGTCAAGGAGTAACATGAAAAGAATATCTCTGTGTCTTCATGAGCTGCTGAAGGGTTACTAAATTTTCTGTGGTTCGCATAGGCATGTGTTCATGCAGTCATACGAACACCATTAGTTCTTCCTTCTGAAACAAGTAGTTGTCTGTGGCCTCTCAGTTTTCTCTCTTATTTTTGGTTCAGTTTTACTCAAAGCTGATATTTTTATAAGAATCTTTAGGGGTTGTACAAAAAAGTTAACAGAACAGAACTTTCTCTCCTTTATTCCCCAACTGATTCTGCCCTACCCTCTCCTACCACCGCACCCCACCCCCCACCTCCAGATACAGCACTTGGAATCCAGAGACTCAACTTCAATAGTATGGAAACTTCTTGATTGAAGGGAGAGAGTGAGTCTCACAATTAAAAACATAAACACCTACTGAAAGTGGCTTAGTATTCTTAAGAAAATGATCTAAGCATTGTCACTACAGCTTTCATTACTTAATGTCTACAGACCAACAGAGAAAGCACAGCGCTGTCTCTCTCTCTCTCTCCCTCTCTGCCTTTGAATGTGTGGCTTGTGTGAATGTAGGTGGAGAAGGAGGAAGAGGACCAGGAGGATTTTAAAGAGGGGGAGAATGGGGAGAAGGGAGGAGGAATTCTCTCTACTTCACTAGATTGACTCATCAAACAGATCTTATTGTATTTGTCAGTTTCCGCAAGCCTATTGATCAGCCAGTATTGTTAAGAAAATAAAATCCAAAAATAATGTTGATTTTACTGATTCCCACACTTGTTATCCTGGGCACTTTTCATGCTCTAGGCAATGGATTAAGGATACAGATGACAAGAGGCTTGTCTGTCTTCCATGGATTACTCTCTATAGACATTCATTCTGCAGAGGAATTCATGTCGCTTTGGGATTATTTCAAGGATTGGACTAATGAACCAGCCTATTGAAATCTCACATATAATTAGTTTAAATACTTTAAATAGTTTTACCATTTTATTAGTATATATTTTATGTCTTTAAAATATTTTTATATGTTTACTCTTGTTTTCTAGAAGAGCAAGTTATTTTGTCAAAACTAAACAGGATAAAAAAATGTATAAGCGTATCCATTTCACCTGTGTAATGTCTACTCCTGAAATATTTTGATATGCTCCAAGTAAAACAAAAGGCTGTACATTTAGATAAAAGAGGGTCAAAATTTGCTACCTGGGGGAAGAAAAACATAAAATCTGGATTTTGAACCACAAAATCAGGACAGAGTTATTTCACTTCAGAAAACGAAAAATTTAAATCAATGTTGATGCATAGAAGTTGGTAGCACAGACACCTCCACATATACACTATTTTTATAAACTGTGATCTGATTATTTATTTTGATATTTTTCTTACCCTCCAAATTATTTATGATCTTCGTGTTTTTCCAGATGTTTAAAAGTTTCATGAGTTTGCATTTACATTTGCTTTTCTGCAGATTTTTTATTTAAGAAATGTAAAAATAGTAAATTATTCAGGCAAACTAACTGTCCTAGACTGATTAAGTTGTAAAATATTAGAAATGTCCGGCCACACACAGATAATTCAAATGTTAAATTAAAAATGAAAGAAGAAAGTAAATGCCTGAAAAATACTCACAAAAGCATTTGGAATATTATATTTCTACTGCCTTCTCATTCGAGTTTGCTCAGAGTTGAATAAAATTGTATTTAAATTTTTTTAATATCCCCAAACACCTGAGGATAATCAAACTTCAATCTATTTCTCAACTAAAGTAGAAGCAAGATACGGGTAGACCTGGATGTGAGGTATCAGAATCTATCGGAATCTGACTGCATGTGTACATTGAAGATTTTAATCCACTCCTCCAAAGATCAGTCCTTTTTTTTTTTCTTTTTTCTTTTTCTTTTTTTTTTTTTTTGCGGGGGTTTTTCTTTTCTCCCCGGGTTTGAGTGAGGTGGAGTGTCATTGGCCCCTGCAACCTCCGCCC